GCGGGGTGCCGGGTGCCGGCGGGCGGCGCTGCTTGGCCGCGGGGGCGAAGGCGGCGCCGGGCCCGGCCGTTGGGGCAGGGCGCGAGGGAGCGACGGGCGCGGGGCGCCTCGGAGTGCCGCAGCCGTCCTACGTCCTTCCGTCCGAGCGGCTCTCCACGCCGCCGCTCCGTGCTGCGGCACCTCGGCATCGGGTAAGGGCGTCCCCGGGCAGCGGAGTTCCTCGCGCGGTCTGGGTCCCCTCCTAGGAATAGGGTAAGTGAAGCGGCTGGGAGCGGGAATTAATCCTTTTTATTACCAATACAGAGGAGCTGGAGCCGCGCCCCCTGACGAAGCGCCGGGGAGGGGGGCCCCTTCCCGGCCCCGCAGAGCCGCATGCCGCGCTCGGGCTGCGCGGTGCCAGCAGTGCGGCAGGCAGTCCCGCGGCGCACCGCGGTGCCGGCGCCCCTTGGCCCCACCTGCGCGCCGCTGCCTGCCCACGCGCGGCTCGGCCGCCGCCGCCGCCTTCTTAAGAAACGAATTGCTTCAGTCTTCTGATCCGGGGAGAAAGTTGTTCCCACAGTGTGTTTTCCAAGTTAGATGAGGTTGCCTGAAACAATGAAACGAAATGCTGCTTTTATGCCAAATACGGGCACAGTCGGGACGTGCTTTGGCTCCTCGGGCTACTTTGGATAACAAGCACCGGGTAAAGAAGCGTAATTGAGACCTCTCAAACGTTTGGTCTCGAGTGCCTTTCTTCCCTTCAATCTGAAGGGCGCGAAGGGGACCCTCGGGAGGCAGCTTTGCAGAGCTCCGTGCCCGCCGTGGCCGGCACCTGCAGACCGCGGTCCTGCCATCCGCGTCTCTGCCTGAAGGCACGGCGGATGCCGCTCTCCGTGCCGTGCCTCCGGAGCTGCCTTACCTCTGCCGCGTCCCGTTCCCTGCTCCGGGCTGGCAGCTGCCTCACCTAGAGTGGAGCAGGGCTCGGTGGCTTGAAAACAGCTTTTCTGCTCTATCAGCCTTCTCATCTAGGTCGGGATGTTTTCCTGCCTGGTGTACTCCGCTCCTTGCTCTAGGAGTGTCTCTCGTTAACTCCGCAGCGCTCGGGCTGAGATCGGTCCCTTTCCACGGGGCTGCCTCTGCATGGGTGCTGGGACTGGTTATTCACCCCTCCGGTCTGACTTTCTCGGGGTTTGAGTCTTCTCTCCTCAAGATTTGTTGGAAATTTCCAAGTCAGGCTCCCGCACGTTGCCCGGGGGCATGGCAGCTCTGCCTCCCTCTTTTTTTTTTTTTTTTTTTTTTTTTTTTTCTCTCCTCTTAAACACGTGGGAACTGGAGTTAGGAATTAATAACTGTTGAATGCAGCTTTGTGTCAGTGGAAGACGGTGGATAAATGTTGAGTCCCAAGGTAAACGAAGAAAAGGTTTTCCAAGTTGAGTATTTCTTTAAATT